ACTTCAGCAGTTCAATACAATCAGTTTGTCTGGTATTTAAACCCTGATGAGAAAGGTTAAGATTCTAATAATGTTTCATAGTTCATGAAAGCCAGACACTTATGAAATTTTGATAAGTGTAAGGTTATGATGTTGTTAATGAGGGCCAGCTTACTTCTTGCATCTGTTTTTGAGTACAGTAATGAATATATCTGAATAATGCAATTTATTAATGGATTCAATACATATTTTTATAAAGAGACATACATACATGCATACATACATACATATATAGTATACATAGAGACTCAATCAAAATACAATTGGTTTATATAGCCATGCTAATTTCTGCTTAAGCCATACAAGAGGTATGTTTCATTTTTACCTATTTCTGTTGGTGCTTTGTACATTCCCAAGTAAATCCAATACAGAACAGTAGAGAACCTGGGTACAACAGCAGTTGTGCAAACAAAGTTCTGGAAAGGGTGTTTTTGGGCTGGGGTATGTTTGAAATAAAAGAATAAAAGCAAGTGGATAAAAGGTAAAAAAAAAAGTGCTACTGCTATATACAAAAAACAGACTACTGAGAGTAACAGAAATCTCATAGTATAATAATAAACTGTGACTATTAAACACATCAGATCTATAATTGTATTAAAAGAAATTAAAAATTGCTATTAAATAGCCTGGGAAGGAAAAATGTTATGATGCAAAGTTAACCATTTCTGGACATTTTTCAGTTACTTTATCTTCTGTTACTTTACTGCTGTAAAAAATGGTATATGGACAAATATGCTTTGTATGCATATTTAAAGGCTGTCAGAATATCTATTCTGGTATTATACAATTACATGATTTCACCATCCTCTGAGAAAAGAAAACTGATCAACAAACTCACCAAGCCATTCTTAGAATCAAACTCAATTACTCTGGCAGGAGCACTCTGTCAGAATGCAGAAGGTGGGAAGAGGCAACCAAAGATACACAAAGATACACTCATATATGATATTATGTAAGTGAAAAAGGCTGCACTGTGGTCATAGCAGAGTTGATTGGAAGCAATTCTTCCTGCTTAATATGAAGTTCAGAAGCATGAATATAATTTAGGGCAAATTTCCTAGCCAGAAAAAATAGACTATTTCAGTGATAAGTAACTGTATGGAATATGAAAAAAATCACTTAAAGGCCATTCAACTGTTCCCACAATGGCACATCTATGGTAAATCAAATAGAACTGCAATTATAATTACCTAGGCTTAACTGAATAGACAGCATGCAATAACTGTAAACAAATAAATAAATATTGATGCAGATTTCACTTGCAGGAAGTAGATAGATCAGTGTGTAAATGCAAGGGTTCTCACAGCATGGAGGAAGTGTTGAAGTTGACTTTTTATTTGACCCTTTCCTTTTAAGCCTCAAAGTTTATCTAGAACAAGCTAGTTCCTTGTAAAAGTTTTTGTTTTATAACCAACAAACAAGATGCTAAAGGGGAGTAGGAAGAATAAAACGAAGAATAACTCAAGTATAAGGCTTCAAAATCTTTTTATAACAAAATTCTGCAGGTTGTCTTCTACCTGATAAACTTGATACACTGACTCCAACTAGGAAGCTTCAGTGTCCAACAGAAGGTCAGTGTTTGATAATTTTATAACAAAAATAGGAAAATCCTGGAGGAGTTTGACCAAAGGCAGATTAGAATTTCTAATTTTTTTTCTACACTGAATACAGGCGCAGGATTTTTCAACTACGCCATAGTGTCAAGTTCTTTCTCTGCAATCTGATTTCTCTATGCCTGCCCTTCCTTCTTAATTAGATGCTCTATCAAGTACCAAGATCCACTTTCTCCTTGATGGTTTACAGTATTATTATCAATTTGTTTCCAAATTGCTCAGCCAAGTATGCTAAAACCTGTATGAAACAGGTTAAAGAGAATCCACACCTCATGAGTAAAGTGGTGCTTTACTTCATCACAATTAACTATTTTGTTAGAATTGATGCAGTAACATAAATTACAAACTGTTCACTTAGTCAACCTATAGCTCAAAATACCATGATATATATTTTAATGCAATTTAAATCAAGTGGCTAGTTAAAGTTTAATCATTACTCAAAATACAGATTGGTCCTATATCCAGCATTATAGTGCCAAAAACAGATCTCAAGCTCTTGTAAGATGTTTATCTAGATTAGAGTTGGGGGTGAGTGGGAGAGGTTGGGTCTCCCAAAACTATCCAATAACTGCAAAATATAGCCATTCTTCTTTCAGTGATTTTTGTGATGACGTTGGAAAGGAGCTTCAAAACCTAAGTATGTAGTATCTTCCAATGAATCTTCCAGGTAGTTCGGCTAACTCAGCACCAGGATTAAATTCAGTCTTGCTTCAAACGAGTTTGCTGAGCAAGGAACACAGCTGACTAAATCTATCCTAACATCCTTGTCATCTATATACAACTAAAATTCTTGTGTCTGTTTGTAATCTTCACTCGGGCAAAATAGTGCATCATAGGAAATCAGTTATTGATCTACAGTGCCTCAAATGGCTTAACTTACAGAATGTGTCCAAAATCAGAGACCCATCACTCATATAAGATTGAAATTTGGCAAAGTTGCAATTGTTCAGCACCGTTGTGCCTTTCAACTACAATTCCTATAAACCTGTAGGTTGAATGATGCAAGGGTACATGTTTCTTGCCTCCCTTTGTCCCCTGCTGGTGATGGAATCTGATGAGTGAACAGTTGGCTGCTTTGGAACTGTGGCCAAAATCTGAAACCTCTTAACAGTGGTGGGCAGTAAGGGAAGGGTAAGACGATGATTTGGATGTCTGCAGCAAGGTGGATGTTGCGCTCAATGAGCAAACCCTCTTCCTCCTGGGAGGGAGGAGTCCTTGGGGGACACACCAGAATGGGGACAGTGGGTTCAGTTTCTCTTGCAGTACACAATTCCCTTTGTTCTCCTCCATCCAGCAAAGTTGCAGGCAATTCCTTGGCTTAGCCATGGAGGCAGATGAGTGATTTTCACACTCTCTATCACCTTCCCAGAAGTAACATCAATAGGGAGGCTGGCAGGAAAATGGAAGTCATTCCCATTCCCAGTACTTTTTTGCTTGTCTGGGGTTATTCCGTTTCTCTGTTTAGATAAGGATTTCTGAAAGGATGACCCAATGGGTCACAGGTTATCTAGTTTATTCTGTAACTGTCTGCTTGCCAGTTTTCAGAAAGGTAGTTCAAAACAAATATGTTCCAAGTTAGGAATCAAATTACACAGCACATAAAATGGAAGATAACTTAAGAAAAGTAGACATTTCTATAGTTGGTTAAAATGTGGCACCTAAGCCAAAGCTTTAATTTGCAAAACCAAAGCTGGCTACTACTTAACACTGCTCTAGCTTAATTCCTCTCTTCTTTGGTTATTGTTTTATGGAATTTTTACTTCTTTAGGCATTTCTGCCAATTTAAGATAATTCTTCTCTTTGAAATAGGAAGCCAAATTGTTTTCTCTGCTTCCTAATAAACTCTCCTCAAACTGTTCTATGTATCAAAGCTGATTTCATTACCTGCCACCTGCTGCTGTTGCTACTGCTGATGGTTTTATTTAAAGCACAGGCATATGGTGAAGAAAGAATTCATCATGACCCCCCTGAACTACTGCAGATGAATGCTGTACTGTAGTGACAGAGAGAAGCTGCTGCTGCTGCTCTTTCTTATGACTCGGCATCAAAACCAAATAATGGTAAGGAAACCTCCCACGTTCAATCCTTGCCACCCTTCCTCTCAGCCATTTTTAAATACTATAAATGATTAAAGGATTTTTTTCAAGGCTTCTCTATCAAGTGTAAACAGATACAATATGGGAGGTTCTGTAAAACATAACATCATTGAAAACATTATGGCCAGCAAATTTTGCCAGGAAAATTGACTTGGCAAATTAACTATCTTAAATTTTTATGAAAAAGCATGCTGGAGGCTAACCTAATGTAAAACTGAAAAAAATCCAAAAGATGACAATCATGTTCATATTGCAAAAAACCTCTATGTGTACTTTTCCACAAAACCAGCAGGAGTAAAGTTTGGCTCAAAAAAGGTCTTTCCTTTTTATTCTTTCTGAATGGCAACCCCATAAATTGAACCCATCAGGAATGAGAATCTGCCATCAGCTGCCTTTTACTTTACTCACTTCTGGTAGAACAGGGGCGTCAAACTGCCGGGCCACAGGTTGGACGCGTCACAAGGAAACCGTGCCCATCCCATTGCTGGCAATGGGGGAAAAGCTCCAATATATCAACGTCATGTGACATCGCGAGTTTGACATGTCTGTTGTAGAACATCTCAATTATTAACTACAGTAGAGAAAAGTGGACCTGGGCTATGACAAGTAGCTGCCTTAGTCTGAAATTCACAAAACCCCATTTCTTTTCTACAGATGGTATTTCAACACAGTTGATAATTTTTTCACCCCTCAACTTATTATTTTCTTCCTTTGGGCAGGGAGAAACCAGGCCAAATTATGAAAAAAACCCAATTAGTAATTCCAATTACTCTTATGAAAAATATTTTCATCCAGAGATGTATTTAAAATAGATATTTAAGATTTAGTGAATTCATTAATCATGAAAACACTACATTTACTAATATATGTCTTATCTTTGTTTACCACAATAAAGCAGCATTCCATCTATTGCTCTAATAGTACAGTACCTGTCAATACCTTATTACATATTTCCAGATCCATTAGGTATGAGCACACATTTATAAAGGAGAACATTTTGATTCCATTGACACCCTTTTCTAAATCATTCTTGAGGAAGTCTTTCTTACTTGTCAGGCTGCTTTCCAGAATTATAATTGTTTACAATCTGAAGTTCCATCCTGCTATAGGAACTGCTATAATGACAGTAAGTATGTGCTTTGCTACAAAACTACTTTTGTGTTAGCTAAATGGGAGAATAATCCTTTCCAGACTACAGTGTATAATCAAGAATGATCTAGGTATCACTAGCAAAAAGAAGTATGCAACTCACCTGTTCTTCAGAGAGCTGTGAGATGTGATTAACGGCAGCATAGGACTCTATCTTTGGATTGAAGTGGTTGATGATAGCTCTGAAAGGGAGAAGAATGTTAAGCCATACGTGAAGGTTAGAAAGGGGCAATAGAAATATTTTAATCCACAGTAGCATATTAGCAGATAAAACTTAAAGTGAACAGTTGTAAGAATATATAGCTCTAAATAGAAAAATAGGAATAAAATTGAATCATTCATTTATCACCAAGCTTTCTTTTCATTTTATATTTAAAACTGGTCCATTTTTGGACTTTTCCTAGAATTGAAACTATGCTGTTTGTTTAGAAACTACAGTGGGGCAAAAAAGTATTTCGTCAGCCACCAATTGTGCAAGTTCTCCCACTTAAAAAGATGAGAGAGGCCTGTAATTGTCATCATAGGTAGACCTCAACTATGAGAGACAAAATGAGAAAACAAATCCAGACAATCACATTGTCTGATTTGGAAAGAATTTATTTGCAAATTATGGTGGAAAATAAGTATTTGGTCACCTACAAACAAGCAAGATTTCTGGCTCTCACAGACCTGTAACTTCTTCTTTAAGAGGCTCCTCTGTCCTCCACTCATTACCTGTATTAATGGCACCTGTTTGAACTTGTTATCAGTATAAAAGACACCTGTCTACAACCTCAAACAGTCACACTCCAAACTCCACTATGGTGAAGACCAAAGAGCTGTCGAAGGACATCAGAAACAAAATTGTAGACCTGCACCAGGCTGGGAAGACTGAATCTGCAATAGGCAAGCAGCTTGGTGTGAAGAAATCAACTGTGGGAGCAATAATTAGAAAATGGAAGACATACAAGACCACTGATAATCTCCCTCGATCTGGGGCTCCACGCAAGATCTCACCCCGTGTGGTCAACATGATCACAAGAACGGTGAGCAAAAATCCCAGAACCAAACAGGGGGACCTAGGGAATGACCTGCAGAGAGCTGGGACCAACGTAACAGAGGCAACCATCAGTAACACACTACGCCGCCAGGGACTCAGATCCTGCAGTGCCAGATGTGTCCCCCTGCTTAAGTCAGTACATGTCCAGGCCCGTCTGAAGTTTGCTAGAGAGCATTTGGATGATCCAGAAGAGGATTGGGAGAATGTCCTATGGTCAGATGAAACCAAAGTAGAACTGTTTGGTAGAAACACAACTTGTCGTGTTTGGAGGAGAGAGAATGCTGAGTTGCATCCAAAGAACACCATACCTACTGTGAAGCATGGGGGTGGCAACATCATGCTTTGGGGCTGTTTCTCTGCAAAGGGACCAGGACGACTGATCCGTGTACAGGAAAGAATGAATGGGGCCATGTATCGTGAGATTTTGAGTGCAAACCTCCTTCCATCAGCAAGGGCATTGAAGATGAAACATGGCTGGGTCTTCCAGCATGACAATGATCCCAAACACACTGCCCGGGCAACGAAGGAGTGGCTTCGTAAGAAGCATTTCAAGATCCTGGAGTAGCCTAGCCAGTCTCCAGATCTCAACCCCATAGAAAACCTTTGGAGCGAGTTGAAAGTCCGTGTTGCCCAGTGACAGCCCCAAAACATCACTGCTCTAGGGGAGATCTGCATGGAGGAATGGGCCAACATACCAGCAACAGTGTGTGCCAACCTTGTGAAGACTTACAGAAAACGTTTGACCTCTGTCATTGCCAACAAAGGATATATAACAAAGTATTGAGATGAACTTTTGATATTGACCACATACTTATTTTCCACCATAATTTGAAAATAAATTCTTTCCAAAGCAGACAATGTGATTGTCTGGATTTGTTTTCTCATTTTGTCTCTCATAGTTGAGGTCTACCTATGATGACAATTACAGGCCTCTCTCATCTTTTTAAGTGGGAGAACTTGCACAATTGGTGGCTGACGAAATACTTTTTTGCCCCACTGTATATAGGCATGAGCATATACATACTATTTTTTTTGCTGATATGCAACTACTGGGATATTTACATTTCAGATAACTTTTCCTCTTTCACAGCCAAAAATGACGTCTTGGCAATGAAAACGTAATATAAAACACTATCCTTGATTTAAGAAGAGCAAAAGACATTCCTTATTTTTCATAGCCAAAATAACTGCCCTGTCAGCAACTTCATAGTTATTTAACTTAAAGACTAAGGGCAATCTATGGCCAAATTGTGATATACATCATAGGCTTTATATGCAATGCACTAACCGAGTGGCTCATGGCAGATGGGATAATCTAAATACAGATGTCCCCATAATATTTAATCTGCCAATTAAATATTAGACACAATGCAATGCAATTATAATTTGGGAAGTGAAGATAATGTATAATAGGAAGTTAAAATTATGAAGATAATGAAATACTGCTCAAAAGAAGATTTCATAAAGTTTTTATATTTTTAAAAATCAGAATCTATGGCTATAGAAACCATCCAACTATTATCTTTTAATATTCCTGTACCTAACAACAAGGCATACCAGAATGAGAGTTAACACTGGGGTTGCTGCACAAGGGAATTTTATTTAAATGAGGCAGCAGCAACCAGTGATCTTTGTAGCCTCTCTCCCTCTCCCTCCCTCCCCCCCCTCTCTCTCTCACACACACACACACACTCAGTGATCATGCACTTGACAAACATTTCACCAGACTATATTGCAATTTTCTATTGTTTCAAATTACTTTCTCTGTAAGTTTCCTCCAAATTGAATCTTTAAAATTAATTGTATTCTTTAGCTTCTAGAGAATGTTTGCAGAAGTTATTTACTTTTAATTTGAAGGATTTCATTTTATCAAACAGTTACACAGTACAATTCAATATTTCATAATGAGAAAAAAGGACAAGCAAAACCAATTTTAAATAGACAATTCTGCTTCTCTGCAAAAAGTAACTCTCAATTATTCTTTATCAAGAAAATGAACAAGAAAAATGTCTGATTATAAAGTCTTATTTGTGATAATAAGCTTTGGATTAAAACTCCACTTAATTCTATAGAAAGGATGAGAACATGAATTTATTGTTTCCTTATTTTCCTTATGAGCTAAGATTGTGTCCTTGAAAGAAGGATCCACTGAACTAACTGGCTATTCTGTGCCATAGTGCAACTTCTACTGTATAAGGAAGCAAGGATCTCTTCCATATCTCTCAGATATCCCGATTCATTTTATATATCTGTTTGCTTGGATATGGCAAAATTTTGTTATATTGTTTGTAAAACTTAACACATCTTGATTGCCTCAATTATTTAATTACAATTTTATGTTTTTGTTTTATTTTACTTGAAATAGAGAGTGTTTAATTATTTTGTTAACTTTTGGAATTATGGTCAGTAAGAGAGGGAGGGGGAGGGGGAGAGAGAGAGGGAGAGAGAGAGAAGGGAGGGAGAGGGAGAAAATCACTCCCCCACTTAGTTTTATATCAAAACTACATTCCACCTTAAACAGCAGAAAGAAAAACTGAATCCAAAAATATACTGCTTTTCTCCACCTACTGAAGAGGTTAGATTTCACTTAGGCTATGCCAGCATCATAATGCAGTGCTAATGTAATGTAGAAGCAGAAGAATAATTAACTTTTCTGAGGCTTAGTACTTATAAAAGTTACTGATTTGCTATAATCTACATCCAGTATGACCTTTCTTCCTACTGTGCTAGCGTTTGGAGAAGGAATATTTGTTATTCATAAACTGCTGGTAAGGAACTCCTTCATTAACAATAACATTTGATTGAAAGAACATTTCAATCATCCCTGCCACACATTCTTATTTCACCTAAGCTATTTGTTGGAGAAGAGGGCATTTGTTGTACACTATACTCTTCCTATCTATTCAATTGTTATTTTCGAAATATGAGAGTTCAGGAGGAAGATTTGATGATTTCAGTCTTCCGTATCAACAGCACTATCAATGTCTGAATAGATGGAAAGGATTAGCAAGCATTCAAGAAAGAGAACGCAAAAAATGTAGTATTTTGTCACATCTAATCTCATTATCAGCCTATGTCACAGTAAAATGTCATAATCCCATATATATTGGAGATATTAGAGACCAAGTTGTGAAAAAGGCAACTAATCAGCCAGAAATACCGCCCACCTCTTGGAGAGTGTCTCTGGATGGTGTACACCAGTGATGGCGAACCTTTTAGAGACCGAGTGCCCAAACTGCAACCCAAAACCCACTTATGTATCATCGGGTGCCAAGTGGGCGTGGCCCATTGGGTGGGCATGGCTGCGGTGGTAACGGCAGGCTGGGTGGGACTAAAAAGTTCAATCAATCAATTCCAACTTTGCGAGATCTTTTTTTTTCCCCGCGAGAAGTTGAAATGGATTGACTGAACCTTTTTTTTCTTTTTTGCACACGGCGGCAGAGGCCTAAAGCGAAAAGGTTTTATAAAACCCAGCTGAAGGCCTAGGACTGGGGCGACGGCGCGCATGCCCACAGAGAGGGCTTTGAGTGCTGCCTCTGGCACCTGTGCCATAGGTTCGCCACCACTGGTGTACACAATCTAACTAACTATTACCAACAGAAAACATTCAGTATCAGTAGATCAGAAAACAAGCCAGGGAAATAGAAGCATACCATATCTGATAAGCCAGGGAATACTGTAACAGGTTGTTGTTTTTTTTAAGTGGGAACTTCTGAGAAGACAACGAGAACAGGGTTCCTCGTTGCTTGTCAATTCCTCAGTATAAATTACCAACTAGGATAGTCAGACTGGTTCCTTTCTCAAAGTCCACCTTGGATTCAGACAGAAATGCATCTAAACAATTTGTATCATTCAGAACTGTCTTGACTGGAAGAACCACTACCCGTTCCAGAATCTTATTCAGAAGATCTGATATTAGTAGACTATATCTAAAGGAAAGTCTTAATTCCTCTCTCTTTTAAGGCAAATGTCTTAAAGAACTATATGAAGTACTGCACCTGATAACATGGTGAAATCTAGAACAAAATTTCCCTCTCATACACATACACTTTTTATCCAGTGAATTCCTTTTAAACAGAAATTCAATCATTTGGATTTTTTCATTTTTTTCCCCAAAAGAGGTGATAACAAATCATCCTTACC